ACCCCTCCCTCATCCCAAAAACTTTCTCTGCGGATTTGGGCTATACTCAGCAAGCGCAGTAAGGCTGCGCAATCAGAAAAAAAAAAAAAGCAGCGGATGCCTGTTTTCTGACTGCTCGGCGGACCACCGACCAGTCAGCCCCGATCCGTCGGGACAAAACGGTCGGCGGTCGGGGTCGGCGGTCGGCGCCGGTGCAACCCTGCTCGCCAGGGTAATGCTGGTTTAAAACACCAGTGCTTGGCCCATGCATCGACCGCTGCTTGGCCCATGCATCGACCGCGGGCCTTTCACGTTAATGCGCCGCATCTTGTGGTCTTTGGGGCTACTGGACCACAATGGCTGGTGGTACCAGCCAAAAGAAAAGGAAAAATGTCACACTGGCGGTTCGGCAAAACTTGGCGCACAGCGCGTTTTTAGGCTCGGCATTAATAGCTGGACGAAGTACTGGTGGTTTAAGTTATATGTTATTGGTGAGAAAAGAAATGTTTAGTGGGCTTCTTTCAAATCATGTGTTGGTTGCCAATAATCAGGAGGGAACGACGTCATACATGTGTAGGTCACAGAGAACTGAACAATTGAATGGATGAGTCCGCAGGTACCGACTAAGCCCTTGCGCACTGATGTGCCTTTTCTATGTAAAACAACAAATCGAATACCTGTGTGACACCCTTCCTGTCCACTCTAAAACGCTTGACTGTCCAGTTTCCACTTGATATCGCATGCTCCAAGCCATATGTGATTGTGTCTGGGCGAATGCACTACACACAGAAGAACAGAGCAATAGGACGGATCGGAGCAAAATGTAAACCCTTTTGAGGGAGATAGAAAAACATACATACCCATGCAATGCAACGTATCATTGTCCATCTACTAAAGCAAAAACTAAGTATTTATCCAGTGCACCTTCAATGGTTGACAAGCTTAATAGCCAAACAAGCACATACAGTGCACTTTTGCTTGCATGAAAGACAGTGCTGGAAAAGCAAGCAGTCGGAAAGGAAAACAGAGCATTTCCTGGATTGTTGAGGAATTAGAGAAAGTCACAAAATTGCGTAATCATCGCATGTGCAGAAAATGATGAGAACTTGTCGTGTATTCCACAAGTTCCTTTCTTCCATTCTTTCCCTTCTTGTTTGCCTTCTTTACTTTCTTTTTAGATTCCTTCCTTCCCCCGTTCTTGTCTTCCTTCCTTCTCTTTTTCAAAGTTTTTTCCCTTTCGTCCTTCCTCTCTTTTCTTTTCTTTTCTTCCTTCCTTTTTGTTTTCTATTTTTCTTGCTTCTCCAACCTTTCAATATTTCTTCAATTCCCCCTTCTTGCCACCTTGCTTTACCTTTCCTCCTTGCTTCCTACCCTCATTTCCCTCCTGTCTACGTCCTTCATCTTTCCCTTCCTCCCTTTCTTCTTCTTCTTTCCACTGACCACCACAGCCTCATCCTCCTTCGGCAATCCTCCTCCTCCTCCTCCAGCAGCACAGGGGAAGAATACACAATACCGGGCAAACGTGCTCATCAAATTGGACTCTTAGAGGGGCTCTTGGAGTTAACTCACGGTTGAGAGTTTATGTAGACAGCAATGGAAGGGACACTGAGATGGGTCAAAGCAACCGTAAGGATGCCTAGAACGAGCCTAGACATTGTAGTTATATCTTCTCAATATCTATTACACCTACATTCACAGACTAATGCAAGGAAAAAGAGGAATGCAAATGACAGAATCCAAATTGCAGTATTCCATAGAAATCCAGATAACCATGTGCAAGAACTGAAAGCAGATTGCGCCATGAGATACACGAAATAAGCAAGAGCAAAGCACTGAAGCAATTGATAATGAAAGCCCTCTTCTCGCCTCCAAAACCAATATCAACAATGCCGCTCATCCAATATGGTGCTCGGCGCCCAGACTACTCGCAGACAGCACCTATCAACCTATAGCAGTCCGATAATGAATAAAGACTCCAACTGTAGCCTCCCGCTCATCACCACCAGGTAAGCGCCCACATGCATCACCCTTCCCTCGACTTCCCCTCACAGTCCCTCGCCCAAGGACCTCTGCTCAACTCCCAGCCTATGGCGCCAGCAGCCCGGATATGGCTGCTGTGCTCCTGCTGTGCTCACGCAGCTTCTTCCTCACACCCCGCCAGCGCCCTTCTCCACTCTGCCCGACTCTCATCCAGCAAGCCAGCGCTCCAGCAGCACTGCCGGGGTCCAGCCAGGCAGAATGTGTTTGGGGCTCAGCTGTAAGTGCCCCTGGGCCTCAGCATCTTTGCTGGGACCAGCATCTTCAACCGATCAGTCTACCGGTTGGTTGAAGATGCTGCATGCAGCAACCAATCCACGAGGCCCCTTTCTGCTCATATCGCCCTCAGAAAGGTCTCGTCAAATTTCCAAGGGGGGCCGCCTTCACTTAGGGCAGACGCAGACAGTTCCCAGCGGGCGCAGGCCCTCTCCAACCTAGGCCAAAGGCCCCATGCATTGCACTAAGACAAATGTGGGCCTGGAACTGTTGTATTGTGAAAAGTTGAAAACAGGGTCCCCTGAAGACCAGTCAGACCCTGTGTTGGTTCATCTGCTCAAACAGCCCTAGGTAGACAAGATGTTGGAGGTCAAAAGTTTGAGGATGGTTCCGCACCTTCACAATATCAAACTGCGTTGTCCTGTTGGCTTTCATAAGAACCATGTCTGCTTGCCTCTTCAAATCCATGACCATTCGCTTGAACAGATCCTGCCGAGCCACCACAACGTCGCTTGAGCGTCCGTCCTTGAATTGAATCAACACTTATCCAGGTGATCCCATGATTCTATGAGTCAGTATCATTATCCCTCAATCCAAATATATGCCACTTAAATCACCAGTGGTGCAGGAAGCTGCGGTGTGCATGCAGCCTGCCATTGCTACAGTACCGCAACATTCCCACCTGTGTGCCTCAGTGTGTTCTCAGTTTGCCTCTTTAGAAGGTTGAGATTTCCCGATTTGGATGACCCAGATCTGCTGTCCGGGAATTGTGCCCAAAGCCACTGGGCCTTGCAAACCTCTGGAATAATGCAGGCAGCGTTTGAGCTGCATCAGATCTGTGGCTTTGGTTGACTCCTGAGAAATCTCTTACTCTTTGACTGCTTTTCCTGAGTTCGGAGTGACTTGTGATTTTCCTGACGTCAACTGACCTCCTGGGGGCACGGGTTGCCTCTTTTGACCCTTGACCCCGTACCTGTTCAGCAAAGGACTTTTGGAGACCCTTCTGGGGCAGGAGATGTGACTTTTGACCCCTGAATCTGGGCTTAGACAAAAAGTTACGACTGTGGATTGTGTGTGCGGATTTTGAAGTTTGAACTGAGTTCTTCGCAAATGTCTCTCTGTCACATACCGTTTGCCCATCCCTCACACAGAATATACTGACTCAAACGTTATGAATGCAGACCTCATTCAACGCGATCCTTTTCTCTCGATTTGCATGCCTTCATTTCAGCAATACAGGCTAAGTCAGATCATCACTTCGCATTATGTGCGATTTGCATATTTCCCCTCCATGGAGTTGACTTCTTTCGCAGACCTAAATGGCATGATTACAACATGAAGCCCTCTCCCCTCAATATGAATTACAATCCCCTTCCCATACTTGTCCAATTTGTGCAGGCAACACCAAACTGAGTAAGACTTCCAGCCCATGTAGCTCAATGGTACACATACAACGACTTCCAGCCCATGTAGCTCAATGGTACACATACAACGGTCGATAAACAGATCATGAGATTTGAATACTTGTTGAATTACCTGGGAAAGGAAATAAAACATAAACAATAATATGTGAGACTATGAGAGCCTCCCAGGCGCTTCAAGGGCTCTAAGTGAAGGCTCGAAAGGAAATGAGGCCTGGCCAGTTTTGTAAAAGGCCGGGTCAGGTCGACGAAGGCGCAACAAGGTAATTGGGATCCCGACAGGCCAAGACACTTCCAGAAGGTACCCAAAGCAGTGCCTACCAAACCATCCATATCCTGGCCTTGACATATAGGTAGAGGCCCGGCAGGCAGGCACACATTCTGGCTGGGCAGTGCCGGTTGGCCCACGGACCGTGTTGAGGAAGCAGCCAGCTCCAGCACTAGCGCCAGCCAGTCAGCCAGTGATAGCAGGGATAGGGCCAGCACCAGCCATATCTGGACATTAGAAAGAGAGGGAGGTGGTGGAGGTGGGGTTAACCTATGACCTGATCTGGGGTTCCCTGTTAACCACCTCTGCAATCACAGTCTGCTGACGGGTCCTTGTAGGTATGAAGCTAGGTTAGGAAAACAGCCTAGCAGGGCCTGACCTGGCCTCGGCACTGCACCTGTACACAGTGAGGAATGTACTCACTCGCCAATTCCCTATCACAGACCAAGCCTTTGATGACCATTTCTCTGCTTCAGTTCGAGTTTCCGACGGCATGACGAGCGCCTGGCTAGGTGATGGCAGGAAATGCCTGAAAGGGACAAGGCCGACAAGGAGGGTGTCACAAGACTCACAAGTGGTTAACAGGGACCCCCACTTTTCAGCCCTGGGTTAACCCCCCCAGCACTGAAAACAGTGAAAAGTGCATTTGGGGGTAAATTTTTAAATTTTTGAATTTGTTTTCTTTTTTTTTCTTTTTTTGCCCTGTTTTATTTTTGGTCAAGTTCTGTGTGTGCCAAGTTTGGTGTTTGTTGGGGTCCTGAAGATTACTATTTTGGCTAGCCCTGAAAATCCTGAAAAACTGAAAAGAGCTAGGCTACCAGAGTGGCCCGGGACCACTTGCCCAGCCGGGCCGAAAGGGGGGGAAAAAAAAAAAAACCATTTTTAAATGATTTTTTTGTTTCTAATTTGGTAAAGAATTTCGATGCGACCCTGAGGCAAAAGTTGTTCAGTTTACTTTTCTGCATAACATCGTTTTTTTCCCTGATTCTTTGGATTTTTTTTTTTTTTTTGCTAGGACCTGCCCTGGTCCTTGCACGGCCGGGCCGTCCGGGGAAACAGGGTGACCTGGGCGGCCCGGCTGGTAGCCTAGGAAAAGAGCGAATTTTGCATGAAAACCCACTTTTGCCTTGGGGGTTAAGGCCCCTTTGATCTATTTTTTCCGTATTTGCGGCACATATGCGCGGTGCAGTGTGCTGATCGCTGATGCATGAAAAAAAAAAAAAAAAAAAAAAAA